TTTTTTTTTTTGTTTTTAACTTTATTTATTATTTTTTTGTTTATTTGTTTCACTGTGATGTGGCCTGTCTGGACTTTTGCCTGATAGAGCCCAACAGCATGTGAGACCCTCAGAATCGTGCAGAAAGCGGGGGGTTCCTGCTGCACCTGAGAAACAAATAGGTCTGGGGAGGCACCAGACCTCTGAGCCCGGAGCGTCTGCTCCAGAGGGTCGCTGTGTTTCCTACCTGGAGTAACGAGGTGGGCCAAGGGGGGGGAGGTGAGGACTGGCAACCATGTCCCACTGAGCTGGGCTGTCACACCTCATCTTCTGGGCTGGTGGAGGTGTTCCCTGGTATCCCTGCTATCTCCGTGAACACGTCCTGCTCCCTGTGCCGACGTGGAAGGGCTGTTCAGTCTCTTCATGGCCGGATTCTCACCTTGGCCACTGCCAGAGCGGCTTTGCTTTTCCAGAAGCTGCTGTGCCTTGGTAAGTTGGGGCTGTTCAGCTGGCAGGACTCTGGCTCCCAGCAGATGTGGAAGCTAGCTGGATGTCCCAGCTGCTGTTGATCCTATTTTCTGGCTGATCACTGAGGAGGTGCTGAAGAACTCTGTGTTTTGGCCCTGCCAGTCAGTAAGATGATGTTTTGCAGCGAGGACACAAGTTAGGATGACCCTCCTTTTAATGGGGAAGAAGAAACACGCAGTGCTCTGTGGCTGTCCTCGTGAGACGCTGGTTAGCAAGGCTACAGTTGTAAGATTTGGGAACCTTGGCTTGCCAGGAAGGCCTCGTTATGTCCTGTCTGCAGGAGACCGAAAGGCAACAGAAAAGTGTGTGAATTCCTGAGGGTCTCACCCTTCCCGGGTGGAGCCTCACCGAGGAAGCAGTGAGCAGGTGCTGGTCTCGGATAACCTCACGTTGTGCTCTTGGCTTGGGTTTCTGGCCGGCAGAGGAGAGCAGGGCCGTCCCCAGCGCCTCGGGAGCGATTCCCCTGTGCCTGGGCTCATCCATGAGCATCGCTCTGTGCCCGCAGAGGCAGGGGAGAGCCTGGGCAGCCAGCCCTGCATCACTGACACTGGAGCGTGCACAGGGGAGAGTCACAGACCTTGTTAGCAATACTTGAATCATGTTATTAAAAGCTGCTGGATATTTTTGCACAATTTGTAGATTTTTGGGGTGTTTTTTCCTTTTTTTTTTTTTTCTATGTAGCACATTTTATATTCGGTGCAGGTAGCGTTGTGCATGTTAGCACCAGGGCAGAGGCTTGCAGCGTTTGGTCCCAAGCTGCCTGGGTAGG